TTTATTATGATTATGAAATTATCGAATAGGATTTTAATATAAGTGGCATTGGTTCCTGAAAAAATTATGAATTTAGGTAATTATGAATTTATCAATATGAATTTAACGAGCTTTGACTGTATTCTTGCAATAAATTGCAGTCTTTGGAATATATAATTCAGTCAATTTTTTTTAAAAAAATTGTTATTTGTATATAATAATAAGGCATAGGGAGAAGCATAAAAGCATATAAATCCTTTTTTTAACAAAAAATTTGAATAAAAATTTGCTTTTTTTTTACATTGAGATCAAGACATTGAGTAATTTTGTACATTTTTCAACTATTATTAAAAAAATCAATAATTCAGCAAGTAACACCAATATACAGCAGATCTACTATGGAACCTAAGAATTACAGCACCATTAGAAGCATTCTAAAAAAAGGAACAAGGTGAAAAAATTGCTCCTTATATTTTCAAAATAAATGATACTCAGAAAGCATCATGATGATACATTATTACCCAATAAAAAGCAAAAATAATAACACACAGTCAATCTCAATATAAGAAAATCATGTTATAGTGAAGGATTTTTAAATCCTGATTTATTTTTTTACTAATAACTTTCTTATAGAACAAGAAAGTTTAATAGTACCAGTACTTGCAATATAAGGTATAAGAAAGTCCCACGCAAATTTTGTATATAAATACTCTTTTATATAAGAAAGTGACAATGATCTTCCCATAGCATAGTGGACATTCGTTTTATCACTTGTGACAAAATCGATCGTCGATCTTTTTTATATTGTGAAACTTGCTATTTCAATTGAATTTAGAATAGAAAAAAGTCGCGTGACTGCGCACAAAACCCATTTTATGGAAAATCTATTTTTTTTTATATCAATATATCGCTTTGACTTTTCTTTATATTTTGGTAAAACTTGATCAATTTGATCAATTTGATTTCAATAAGTTACCTTAGAAGTAAAAGTTTAAGGCTTCTGTGATCTTGTCCGTCAAAATGGTGTCATTATTATTATTATTTATTATTATTATTTAAATTTTTTTTTTTAAATATGAATGATAACATTTTACTTATTAATAAGTTATTATTATACTTGCAGGTAAAGACTTATTCTATATTCTCATTATTATTATACTTTAAAGAAATAAGTATTTATTATATATATTTGATTAACTTATAACTTATATTCAACTTTTTCCAATAGTACAAAGATCATATAATAGGTTGTATCTTGATTTTTTTATGATGCATTTAAAAAACAAGAAGGATTTTTAAACAACAATAACAGATATACTCAGGGTGTAATTATAAAGTGGTGTATACAATTTAAAAAACATATTTAAAATATATTTTTTTATATTTATATTTATATTTATATTTTATATATATATATTTATTTATATTTATATTTACATATTTAAATTTATATTTTATTTTTATTTTTACTTTTATTTTCAAAATTCATGTATTAATATTCCTGCCACCAATCTATTTATTTATAGGAAATTTCAGATATATATACAATATTATATAATGGATGATAATTCATGATCAAAGGTAAAATGTTGATTTGATGAAGTCAATGAAAAGTTAAAAGCAAATAATATATTAGACTGTATAATGAAAAACCAAGCCTATGTATTAAAAACATTCAATAAAGAAATACTATATCAATTTTTTTATTTATTATAAACATTTTATTAATATTTTGTTTTTCAAATTTGTGTAACGATCTTCAAGCCAATAAAATTTAATTTTTGCGTGATATCTGAAAGGGAGATCGGCACAAAATTTAGCCAATGAAATCAAATGTCCACTATGCTGATCTTATGCACAAATTTGAATGTCGATCAGTGTTGAAAATTCAATGTGGGGAATGTGCGGGTGTAACATTACACACCAATCAAATTTTTAATTTTTGGAGATAGTTTCTAAATTTATGCTAGTTGCACAACAAAATTCAACACTGATGTCAATCATATTGTAAAAAGGGGGTGCTATCTCTACAGTATTACATTTTTGGCTGGCTCCTAGCTGTGTGCAAAGATGGAGGCTTTGATTTTGAGCTGTGTGCCTGTAAACTCCTGAACTGTATGTAGAGATGGAGAACTTTATATTTTTTTATTGGACTTGTCATGAACTGTAACTGAAATTTGCTTGCTTGTACCATCATGTGGTTTTGCTTCCTAAGTTTAAAACACAAGACATGGTCAAAAAATGTGGTTCTAGAAAAATCCACTCTGAAACTGCAAGACAAATGTTGACTGGCCACATTATCATTTTTGCCAAGATTTGCTCTACAAATCCCATAAGTACCCTTGGTTCAAAGTCATCATTTGCACTGAGAAATACACTAGCAAATCATGCAGATGTTGTGGAGTTATCAAGTTTAGGGACCTTTAATTGTGCAAATCTATCATTAATCATCCGGAAAATATAAAAAAATTTTACACATGTCAATTGTAAGTTTAATAATAAAAAAGTGTAAACTTATGTTGGCACTGTAAGATTTACACAATATTACATCGGCATCGTAAGATTTATGCAAGTTTACGCTAAATTAATTTCCTGATGATAGAGATGTAAATGGAGCTTGTAATATACATTTATACTTTTGAAATACATTAAGAAAAACAACAAGAGTCATTCACAATGTTGGAGCTTACACATAGACACCTTATTGTATGAAGCTGTCTATGTTTTTTAGTATTAGTGCAGATTCAAATGTAATTTTAATGAATTAATTGTGTAATAAAAACATGAGCATAGTGGAAATTTGAAATGTTACACTAAATTTTTATATTGTGCAACGTAGCTTTACAATACACAGCAAACATTCTAGCAATAAAAAGTAAGTGATAAACTGGATTTGAATTGGATCTCCAATTTAGAGAGGTAACAAATATATACTGGCGAAGTTTCAGAAGCTGTATAACGTTTCGTGTAACAACAAACTTCCACTATGCTAAAAACATGTGATACTAAAATTACTAAAAATTACTTTTTTTTTTGTGATGATACCATTTCAGTGCTTAACTGTTGAAGGAAAATCTATTTGGGAAAAGGCAATTGATTGCGAAAAAAGAAAAGTAATATTGATATATGTAATAAAAATTATCATTGATAAAATTTTGTAAATAACAATTACAAAAATTTTTTTTAAGTCAATAATTTATTCTTGGGAATCAATTGGAAAAATCAAAGAATTTCAAACTCCTTCATCAAAATATTTAACAGAATCAGATATTTATACATTTGAAACCATTATCTTTAAACATTTTCATGATCAATTTTCAAATTATGGATTAGGAAACACCAAATCATATAATAATTTGATCAAAGTAAGTTGGATTAAGTGGGATGGATTTGGAGGATCAATTAGAAGAATATTAATAAATTTTATTTATCTAATATTAGGATTTAATAAATTTAATGTTAGGAATTCCTTCAGAAACATTTATTTATGACAAAGGATTAAAAAAATTTGTTAACAAAATACCTGACATTAGAAGTGAAGGTTATAGTGCTAAAAGTATGAAAATGTAAGTTATAAATCTTATTATTAGCATTAAGATTTGAATATTTGTTTCATTTATTCATTTTAATCAATATATATTTTCTTTTAAAAAAGGATTTTATTAAGATTTTCAAACATCGGAACACATATAAAAAGATTAGAAAATGTCGCAGAAAAATGTATCAATAATCCACAGTAGGTTGACATTAAAAAAAATTTTTTTACCAAATCAATTTTAAAATCAATTAATTAAACATTATTTAATAATATATTTAGTTTTTATGGTTTGACTGGTGTGGCTTTTGGGAGAAGCCTTGATTGTTTCACTTCTTTTATAAGAACTTCAATTCTTGTTAGGATAGAAAAATCTATAATAAATGATGATCAAATCAAAATCATTCAATTATATCATTTAATGGATGAAACTTCAATCATACTTGAAATAATTGCCAGATTCTGTAAATGTGTATGCTACATTATTATTTTAATGTTATTATTTTAAGGTTAATAATAATAATATTATTATTTATATTTTTTGTAGGATGTATCTGAACAACATCTTTTATTATTACCCGAAATTCAACAAGAACAATGGATGGATCAAGGATTCTATTTACCATTTGGAAATGATATTCTATCAGAAATCTATAATTTTATAGAATTAATTGATATATCTGGATCATTGTTTCTGAAATCAGTTTTTCTTGCATTCTTAGAACAATCTAGTTGTCCCTTCTTTGAAATGTTAAGTTCTTGGTTAGGTATAAATACAAGTTCAAATGATAACATCAATAATGATAATGACAATAATAACTATTCTTTGTTAAGTGAAATTCTTGGTGATCAATATTGTGACCCATATGGTGAATTTTTCATTGAAGTCAAATCTTGTGTTGTTCAAGATGAAAAATATTGGGAAACTGGAACAAATGTAAAGTTATAATTATAATTACATAATAATATATATATTTTTAATTAATTTCTCATCACACATAATATATATAAAATTTAAGATGAATAGAAATCATTCATTGCCAATTTTCATTGATTCTGATGTTGCAAGAGATATTGTAGAAGCTGGGAAATCACTTAGACTTTTACGAGATTGTTACCCAAATCATGCTTTATGTTATCTTGGAATGAAAGCTCATGATCAAAAAAGCAACACAACTTCATCAACATTATGGAGTGTCAATTTGAAATGGATTTTTACACAAGGAGAAATTGACGAGTAGGTGAAAGTCTATAATTATATGATTTTTAATAGTTTTTTCTTTCAATAAATATTATAACATTATAATTATTCAACTATTTTTTAATAAACAAAAAGTATGCATGATCATCTTCGAAACTACTTGAAAGATAAGACTTTTGAAATCCTTGCTCAACAAAAACAGAGAAAGATTGATCATCTTCCAATTAATAAAACTAATAGCTTATTTCAGAAGCAGCAACTAAATCAACAACAGCATCATAATCACCACCAGTGTCATTTCAATTCTAATTCTAATCCTATCAATCACTCAAAAGTAGAAAAAAAGGGTTCAAATAATTATACAAGCAAAACATTAGTATTTGACATAATCTCAAACAAAGAAAATCCAACAATAACCTTAATAGAGCATTTTATTGAAACTCAATCATCTCAAAAATCCTATAAACAATACGTTCCTCCTTTAGGCGTGATAAAAGATCTTGTTATAAGACACACTCTTTTATCCTATTGTCAATTGTTAAATTCTTCAATTCTTTCTGTATTTTTTCAAGAATATAATCTTTGCGCTCATTTTAAAGTTTTAAAAGACTTTATGCTCATGGGGAATGGTAAATTTGTTCAAGGATTGAATGATGCTCTTTTTAGTGATAATGTTGATTACGGTGAAAAATTTTATGACACCAATTATTCATCATTACTACAATCTCCAATTAATGCATGGGCCAAGGTTAATAACCTGGACGATTTACTTATGTTTTCCATAAAAAAATCAGATGATTATGAATCATGCAATGATCCTCATGGTAAGCTGCATCATTAACTTTACACACATACACATATATATTTGTTCTAGTATCAAAATTAATCGTATATATCATTTAATAGTAGAGGCTCTTGACTTCCTTCAACTGGAATATAAACCGCCATATCCAGTCAACATCATAATATCTTCAAACGTGCTCGACAACTATTATAAAAAGATTTTCACACTTTTATTACGTATTTTACGTATGGGATCCGTTGTACGACATATTTTTAAATTATCTCATAATCGCTACTTATATTACGACAATGCCAATAATGATTACAATGATAGCAAGTTGATTCATATTTTTTGTTTCCGATCACAACAATTTATTGCCGCTTTAAATGGCTATGTTTTTGACATTGTTATTTCTTCCACATGGTCAACTTTAATGAAAAGATTGAATAAAATTGCAAAAGCATCAAAATTTGAGTCACCACAATCGCCACAATCACATAAAGAATTTTGTGAAAACGATAACATGGATATTGATGCCAATAATGAAGAATTAACATCAAAAATTAATCCTGATTCTGATATATACGTTAACAATAATGACGATGACGATGACGATGACGACGATAATGGTGTCAGCAGCATTGGTAACAGTGAATATGCTATTAAAGATCTTGAATCATTACGTTCATACCATGAACATATTTTAGATTGTATATTATTTCAATGTTTTCTTAAAGAGGATCAAGAACATATAATAAAAGATTTAAATGAAATCCTATCAGTCATTTTATCATTTGCTAGAACGTTACGACATAGAAGGTTTCGTAATTACAGTGAACAACAGAAACAAGAATATTGGAGCACAATTAACTCTTTATATGAAAAATTTATATTATATACATCGAATTTTGTAAATACATTAAAGTCATTGGATGAAAAAGGTAAAAAACTGATAATAAATATTAATAATAATTTATCTCTTAACTTATTTATAAAATTAATTCTAATATTATTAGGAACTAGATACTCGGATTTTTATTTTCAATTACTTGTCAGTAAAATTGCTAGAAATTAATTATTTCCAAATTTGCAAATTTAATGAAAATAATATTAAATAAGATTTCAATTCAATAACAATAAAAATAATAAATAAATTCATATTGTTAACAAACAGTTCTATGTGTTGAGGTTTTTACTTGAAAAATGATTGAATTGATGAATTAATGAATTAATGAATGAATTAATGAATGTATTTATCATAGGAGTATCTAATTTATTCTATGAGTATAAACAAATAGGATTATACGTGTGTAGGTGTACATTTTATTAAGCTTGGGTAAAGTAGTTTTGTGCAGTTTTAACCTTTTCACGGACATCTAAATTCTCATCAGTAGCCATATTTTTTACTTTTTCATCAAATCCTAACTGGCGTAATTTTTGTATTCGTGGTATGGAACCTGTATTATCATAAAATTGAAAAAAAAATTGTATATATACATTATATATAAATCGATAAATCGGTTCAATTGTACTAATCAATTCAACTATTTACAATTCTGATTGTCCTCCATTCGCATCAAATTAATGAGACATAAAACAGTTACTACACGTATATCAGGATTGTTATGTTCCATAAAACATAAAACGCGTTTTAATATCGTAGGCCTTTCCATAATAGATGATCTGTGTCGTTCACTACCAGTTGCAATGTGACTAATAACAAATAATATCTGCAAGATCATTATAATTCGCAATGGTTATTTACAAATCACAAATAAGCTTATTCATTTAATTATTTATTAAAAAAAAACCTGTTTAATGATCTCTTCACTGTCCGAACATAATTTGTTTTCTATAATATTCATTAACTGGGTTTCACCCAATCCTTTAAACGCTTCTTCAATATCCTAAATAATATGCCAGTTAAATGTTATTCATTTAATATCAACAATTAAAGTAGAATCATTTACATAAATCCTTGAACACGCCAGATTCCTTAAAAGATTTAGTGCTTGTTCTTGTATGTCAACTTCTGGATCGGAAATTAATCTAAATCACAATAAGGAATACATACATGCATACATAAATATAATATAGATATTTTGTCTCGTAAAAATCGATTTATTTTAAAAATTACTTACGCTTCCATTTTTGTATATGTTAAAGCCTTCATGACCGCATCTTTAATTTCTGATTCACAATGATAAACTAAATTTTTTAATGCCCATACTGCATTGAGTCTTAACGTATTGTCAGGTGAATGTGCAAGTTCGACAAGTTTTTCTATTGCACCTTGCTCCAAAACTATCTGATAATAAATAATTAAATAAATTTTAGTAATTATTTAATTGTTTATTCTAAATAATTATATGATTTATGTACTACTTTTTTCATCGGAGAAAATTCCAACACTATATTACAAAGGGTAGCACATGCAGTTGTCTGTACGTCTGTAGATTCATCTGATAATAACTTTTATTTATCAAGAACATGTCAGTAAGATATTTTTCTTTTGATATGTTTTTGGTTTTTAGATAATAAAATAAAATACGTTAGTGCGAGGGTTGACTTACTTTAAACAATGGTGTGGCAATCCCCGCATCCACAAGACTAGTTCGTAACATGCTGATAGACCTAGATAGACTTCTTGCACATTGACATGCTGCAGCGCGAATCCCATAAGAATGATGTGACATGGCTGTTATAATATGTGGAATAATTTTTGCTTCGACTACCTGAAAAATGTCAAATCACAATTAAAAATTTATTCAAAATATTACTGAAAATTCAAGTTCTATGTATGCATATACAAATAAATATATATTATTTACCAATTTACGTCCATCATCTGATAATATGCTTATAGCTGCAAGAGCCATTAGAGCATTCTATATTTTGAGTACACTTAATATTAAATATTTAAAAAGGTATTTAACCTATATATGTATATGTGTATATATATATATATATATACCTCTTTTAACTTATCGCCATCATTAACGGAATCATAATACGAATGATCTTTGTCAGAAAAAGGTATAATAAAATTTGCTAGTTTTGAAACTGCATCACAATCGCACGCTGCCTTTTGTAATTTTTCACTATCACGTATTAAACATGCTAAATTAAAAAAATTAATAATATTATCCATAAAAGTCTTGAAGTCTTAAAAATTTTTTTAATAAGTTAATTAATTATTACCTAAAACATGAGGTGCTTCTTCACGAACCGAAGTTTTCTCGTCAAGTAACTTGACTAAAGTTGGTAAGACTGTTGAAATTATATCATTAGAATATTCAATTATAGTGTTTGTACGATTTAAATGTGTTATGCTGATTAGTTAATTGTTTAATAATTATAATCATATGATTACCGGTTAGTTCAAAGTTGATGAGTTAATAATAATTGACTGTTTTTATCGAAACAAAATTGAATTTACCATTTTGCAGATGTCAATCGCATTGTTGGTGATTTGTCACCGACTAATTTCAACATTATTCTTACAGGGGCTTCATTTCTTTCGGCTATTTGATTTATGAAATAATTAAAAAATAATAAATTTCATGCATTAAAAGTACTAAAAAGTTAACGTTTAAATTTTACTTTTAGCTTCAACTATGTTTTTGCAGAATTCGGGATTTTCTCTACAAAGGTATGCAAGCGCATCCAAAGCTGCTTCTTGTGCTTTAGGAATGGAACAAGTTAATAGATTTATCAAAGGTCGTAAAGCATTTGCATTTGCAATTTGATTTTGTTGTTCATTGGTATCACAACAACGTGCAATTATTGTTGCTGCCAATTCAGCAGTATGTATTGCGGCAACCTTCTCACGATCTGTTTTTGGATTAAGTGAGTCGGGATTAAGAAGTGCAATAAGGTTATTTAAATAACAGTCCTATTTTTTTATTTTTTTTATTTTTTAGAAAAAAAATGAAATAATGATTAGTTTTTATTCAAATAGTAGAGTGATTAATTAATAAAAAAAACCATCTAAAAACCTGAAAAATGTCATTTTTATCCGCCACAGGACTTTTATAAATTACTTTTAATGTTCTAGCAGCAGCTTCAATTAGTCGTGGATCTTTTTGTAAAGATAAACAATCCAATAATGGTTTAACAGCATCATGCTTAATTAACTCTGACACATTCTCCTCGCCTCCTTATTATTATTTATAAATAAAAAAATTTTAATATCAAAGATCTATTAGAAAAAATAAATTACAAGTAACGTAACCTCACTAAAATAATTTACCGTATGCAAAACTTCCTAAAACAATAACTGCTTGTATTTGAATTTGAGGATCGGTGGTTTTAAATTCAAAAAATTTGACAAGCCTAAATTTTTTAAATAATGGTATAATTATCAAAATAAAAAACTTTTTTTTTTAAAACCAATAGTAAAATTACAAACTTTGAAATGACATTAAGACGAATATATAAATCTTTTTTTGTTTTGTTTCCAATGATTTTATTTTTAATAAATCGTAAAGCCTTAATTCTTACTAAAGGATCTAGTGAACTCAATTCTACGACAGCTTGTTCATGTCTTGTTGAATTCATCATAAAATTTTGGTTGTTTTTTTTTTGATCTCGAGTTGGTAATAAAAATTTTTTCTAAATAAATAAAAATTAAAATAGTTGTAATTTTGTGGCTTAAAATTATTTCTCAAAGGTTGGATTTAAAATGTTTATAAATTTACTTTCACATTCTACAAAGCTATCAAATTTTAACAATAAAAGGCTTCTGATTCGTTATTTTAATACTGATTTTTTGAACTTGAAACAAGTAACTCCAATTTCCACCGAGCTAAAAAAGTTTAAAACAACACCTCTTTTCATTAACGGGGAATTAATAGAGTCGAAAACAACCAAATGGAATCCGATTTATAATCCAGTACGGAATAATGACAATAATAAATTAATAAATTAATTTTATGTTGAATATTCAATAAATTGTTCAATTAGAACGTGTAATTAATAAGATTTAATTACCTTTGAAGGCGACAAATGAAATTATTACTAGTGTCCCAGAGGCTACCCAAGAAGAATTAAAAGCCTCAGTAGAATCAGCAGCTGAAGCTTTTAAAACATGGAAGAATTCATCAATACTTACAAGACAACGCGTCATGTTAGATCTTCAATTTTTAATTCGAGAGCATACCGACGAAATTGCTAAGTCAATTACTGAAGAACAAGGAAAAACATTTTCTGATGCAAAAGGGGATGTGTTAAGAGGACAACAAATAGTTGAGAATGCTTGCGGTATAACTAACTTATTGTTAGGTGAAATTTTAGAAGTTTCAACGGATATGGATACTTTTACCATTCGTGAACCTTTAGGTGTAACTGCTGGAATATGTCCTTTTAATTTTCCTGCCATGATTCCATTGTGGATGTTTCCTTTATCAATTGTTTGTGGAAATACAATGGTAATTAAACCATCAGAACGTGATCCTGGTGCTATGATAATTCTTGCTAAATTAGCAAAACTAGCTGGCGTTCCCGACGGTGTTCTCAACGTTGTTCATGGCTCAACTGACGTAGTAAATTTCCTTTGTGACAATAAACATATTAAAGCAATTTCTTTTGTTGGAAGCAATAAAGGTAAAGAAATTTTTTCGCAACATTTATAAAATTTATTTGGTAAAAATTTATTATATTTTTAGCTGGCGAATATATACATCGACGTGGAACCTCCAATGGAAAGAGAGTTCAAGTTTGTTGACTTTAATTATTCTCGTGGTTTTTCATGAAAAAAATATTATTTATATATATATGTGTGTGTTGTGGTATTTTTATAAAATAGGCAAATTTGGGTGCAAAAAATCATGGTGTAATTATGCCTGATGCGAATAAGGTTTGATTATCTTTTACAATAAACTAGGATAAAGCATATTGATATTACTAACACTTTTACTATTTGTAATTGTAGAATCATGCTCTTAATCAACTTACAGGAGCAGCCTTCGGTGGAAGTGGTATGCGCTGCATGGCTTTGTCTACCATGGTATTTGTTGGTAAATCAAAAGAATGGTTGCCAGAACTTGTTGAACGAGCAAGAAAACTAAAAGTTTCGGGTGGATTCGAGCCAGATGTTGATCTTGGACCATTAATAACGCGTCAAGCAAAGGAACGAGTTGAAAAATTAATACAGTCAGGGGTTGATCAAGGCGCTGAATTGTTATTAGATGGCCGTAATCCTACTGTACAAGAAAAATATAAGAACGGAAATTTTATTGGTAATTGTATCATATTTATATCTTTTTGATTTATTTATTATGTTTATAAACCTTTTATTATATAAATTTTTGTTTAATATTCAAGGACCCACAATTTTAACCAATGTTAAACCTGACATGGATTGTTATAAAGTAATTTAATCAATTTTAATATTTTTTATTCTAGTGAGTCATCAATTAATTATTAATATATAATTATAAGGAAGAAATATTTGGGCCGGTTCTAGTATGTTTAAATACTGACACTCTTGATGAAGCTATTGAATTAATCAATAAAAACCCTTATGGGAATGGTACAGCAATATTTACCAATAGTGGTAGTAATGCACGATATTTTACTTCTAATATTGAAGTTGGTCAAGTTGGTGGTATGTTTAAAAAAAAGGATTTCTAGAAAGTAGATAAATTTATGTATAATAATAATTATTATTATTATTATTTCACTGTTTTCAATAGTCAATGTTCCGATTCCTGTTCCTTTACCAATGTTTTCTTTTACAGGCAACAAAGCATCAATTCAAGGAGATATGAATTTTTGTAAGTTTATATATATAACTTGAAACATTATAATTTGTAATTGGCTAAAATTTTTCTAATATTTTATATTGGTCATTAATTAGATGGTAAATCTGGATTACAATTTTATACACAAACTAAAACTGTAACTTCTTTATGGAGACATGATGATGTTAATCATTCACATTCATCTGCTGCTATGGTAAGAAAAAATCAAATTAAATTAAATCAATAAAAATGTTTACTTATTTAATTCTCATTTTTTTTAAAAAGCCAACAATACAATAAATAAGCTTGTGCATAACTAGCATTTAGAGGATTAGTTGCAAGACACAAAATTAAAGCTCTATTTATTTTGTTATATAGGATAGTGAGTCAAATTTATCACATCTTTTTTTTAAAGCATGTTGATCTCTTATGATTACTTTTTAATAAGATTATTTGGAAATATACAAGGACCAAATACCTACAAGTATTTGCATTTATTTTTTAAAATTCCCCCGATTGTCAATTATATATATATATATATATCCAGTAAAAATCAGTTATTTGACTATTTCTAGAGTATATTTTTGTTGTGCCATATATATAATGATGGTAGACAAAGCCTATGGATTGATTGATGAGAAGGAGGGTTCAGATTTTTCCAAACTAATTCCAGACAAGGTAAGATAGTAATAGGTTTATAATTTTTAACTCATTTTCTAGGATAACCTTTTTTTTTTTTACCCTACAAAAATCATAATTCTCCCTTTAAACCATCTATCCAAAATTTGATTTACCCCCAAAAAAATGTAACCCGCTTAATAAAAATTTGAGATATTTTCATGTCTATACAGTGTCTGAAATTGAGTGCGGGGGTTTGTGTTACATATTGAATTTAGCCAATCAACGTTAAATTTTCTACCAGAAGGACAAATTTGATTGGCTAAATTCAATATGTAACACAAACCCCCGCACTCAATTTCAGACACTGTGTCTATATGTAAGTTGTAAAATTTCGGAATGATCTTCAATTGTGATTTCCTAAAAGGCCGATGATCGGCCTAAAATTTTTTCGTGATACTTTCAAATTAATTGCTTATATATAGTAACAATTGTTCAGCTTCAAAATATTAAAACAAAAAATTATTATATCATTATAAAAGAATTAACCAATAAGTTTTATTGTTCATGACTCAAGCTTCAAAACTTATTAGCTAGTTTTTCCTTAAACTAAAAATTGGAGGAGCCTTAGCATTTTGAAAATTCCAAATTTTGTTATATGTTTACTAAGTAAATTTGTGTAACAATTTTTTTTCATATGGGGCATGCTGCAACAAAACCAGACAAAGTGAACATTGGTAATTTCAGAGATCAATAGCATTGGTTTAACATCACAATTGTATTACAGTTGCACCTATCTATTTGCATACTGTATATTTGCATAATCTGTTCATTTGCATAAAGGTAGCTCAGTCCCATATCAGGGCTCATGAACTATTTGCATAACATAAATGTGCATATGCATCCTGTTTCTACTAAGTCCCACTAACATAAATATGCATATTCATACTATAAAAGGAGAGATCAATGACAATAATTTTATTTTTTATTCAAAAAAATCTTTAATATTGCTTTGTTTCATAGAATCAGAATAAATCTTTTTCATGTGTTCAAGTTCAAAATATTTCACATTACAAGATTTTTTCTGTAGTGGGATTTGTTTCATTATTTAAAAATTCAGATGAACGATTTAAGGTTCTGGAAGTTGTTGCTAGATCAATTTTTACTCCAAATTCTTGTTCACACCAATTAATCAATACTTTTTGGGTCATTCTTGGACCATTTTGCTTATTTAAACAAGTTTATGATGTTGTTCATTGTTTAATTTAGCTTTCTTCATTATGGATATAAAGGATAACAAAATAATATATAATGTTTGTGTAAAATCGGGTAAAAATCAAAAATTATTTTAATGAATCATGAATGACGCGAAGCAATTTTTACATAATATGTCATGTGACAGTTAATTCATCAGTCACATGATAACGCGAATATGCACTTACATTGGATCATCCCATCATACGATCCAAACAACCTTTTTTGGCCCATCCAAAGATTTTGGGAAGTTGAACAAGTGCCAACCACACAAACTCTAACCATCACTTTATTTTTTTTAAGATCATCCCATCATTTTCACAAATAAACCTTGTCTTGTGTTATATATAACACACAATATACAAATCATATGTAATACTCTGTCTATTGCATAAAGATTCATTGGTCCCACCAGCATGCAAATAAACAGGTGTGACTGTACAATGTAATATGATCAATATGATCATGATATTTGTTTTATCTCTAAATAAAAATAGTTAATATGAAGTTAATTTACATTAGGTCTACATGGAACCTAAGAATTATTGTACCATTAGAAGTATTTTAAAAAAGAACAAGGAGAAAAGATTGCATCTTATATTTTTAAATTAGCAAATACCAAATCTTTGCAAACATATTTAGACAAAGAAAGGATTACCTATGAAATTTATCAAGAGGAAAGATTTCAAAAGAGTATTAGAGAATTCTAGTAAAGAATCAAGAAAAAAATTATTTTCAATCAAGGTCATTTTTTAGTTTCTTTAACTTCAATTTGAGCAACTTGTTGAGAAGTTAACTGTTCTAAC